TCTAGCAATTAATCTTGTCTCGGTATTTCATTCTCGTCACGGTATACGAACCGGGTTACGTAAGTAAAAAACAGTATGAAGAGAAAAAAATTGACAGAGATGCGACGTGACTGTTCAATTATTTACTCTTCCTAGTCGTCTGTATTCGGAGTCTTTATTTTGCGATACTGTAACGTAATCAATAGCTAATAATGCATTATTATGTATCTACATAATTTGGTATTATACATAACATAACATAACATGTATTATAACATAATAACAGGTATTGTAACATATATAACATATAACATGTATTATAACATAATAACAGGTATTGTAACATATATAACATATAACATGTATTATAACATAATAACAGGTATTGTAACATATATAACATATAACATGTATTATAACATAATAACAGGTATTGTAACATATATAACATATAACATGTATCATAACATATATAACATATAACATGTTTTATAACATATAAAACATATAACATGTATTATATGCATAGTTATGAATTATAACATATATAACATATAACATGTATTATACATAGTTATGTATTATAATCTCTTGACGTAACCACATAACCTAATTTATAAAACGAGGTGGGCAGTCGCATAAAGTACATGTGTTATAAACCTTTGTCTGAACTTGCGAACTCGCGAGTACGTTATATTCAGATTTCTATCAGGTAGATGCCATATTTGAGTTTTATTGACTATATAATTCATAATCACATGGTGTAAATGTACACACGTGGTCACGCGCTCACTCGCCGTGCAGGCACGCACGTACGCTCATCCACACAGACACACACACACACACACACACACACACACACACACACACACACACACACACACATGCGCGCGCGCACGCACACACACACACCTCCCAGTGCATTCACACGTTTTTATGCACCGCACTCATTTCACGCCAGAATACGTTGACCCACGCACACTCCCCGTGCACTCACGCACGCACGTACGTACGCTCTCCGACGTACACGCCCCCTCGCACGGCACGGAACACACTGCCCCTTCTCGCTGTCGCGGTAATAAGTGCATCGCTTGTAACTGGCGTTTATTTGGATTTCATTACTCACGTGCCGGATAGCTAGTCAGTTCTAACTAATGCGCGCGTATTGCCGAAGGAAATATTGACCTCATCTGCAGAGAAATCGCGTGCTGGTCGTCCTGCATGTGACGATATCTGCGTGGCTTGTTCGTGTCCTCACGTTCAATACGGCCGGCTTCGTACGTTTTCGTTCGTGCGTTCAATACTGCGTGTCCCTGCGTTCAATGCTGCGTTCGTGCGTTCGTTCGTTACGTTCGTTCGTACGTTGAATACAGCTTGCTGTGCGTTCAATAGCGCAGTCGTGCGTTCGTTTCAACTCGCATGTATTGTACGTTCGTTCGTACTTTCAATACTGCGTTGTATGTTCGTTTCGTACCGTTCCAATCATGCGTTCATACGTTCGTGTCGTACGTTCAATATTGCGCTGCTTGTGGTTCCGTTCGTACGTTCAATACTGCGTATTGTACGTTCGTTAGACGTATTATAGTATATATATATATATATATATATATATATTATATATATATCAAGAGTACATAATAGGAGACATAATAGGAGTACATCTCCTATTATGGTAACTCTTGATATATATATATATATATAATACTATATATATATCTAATATAGTTATCTATATATTATATACTATATATATATATATATATATATATATTATTATAATATATATATAATATCTAGATATATATTTGAGTTCGTATGTATCTATGTATGTATGTATTTATGTATCTTCCCTATAGGCGGCGCCGAAACGCCCACGATCTGGATGCAATTTTCACAGGGCCATCTCTTATACGCGGGACTGTTCCTAGATGAAAAAACCTGCCAAACGCGTCAAACTCACCGAAAAATCCGTGAAAAACCGCGTCAATTCCGTGAATCTTCACAGAATGTCAGCACTGACTGTACAGTGCTGCACACAGAGAAAAATCGATTCCCTCACCTCATCCGGCTGCTGGTATTGTGAAACCGAACCAATACTAAAACACACCACAACCAGCACCAGTTTCACCAGTTCAGAGGTACCTACTCACTCAGCGCCTCAGGAGCCCGTTCAAGTTCAGATGCTACGATCTCAGAATGCATTGTAAGCTATGCGAAAGCTATGCAGTTTCTGATTCAGTAGGAAAATTTCTTCATTTCAATGTGCATGGTTGCGTGTCTCTATCTATACTATGAGCAGCTAATAATGACAAATTTCTCATTATTAGCTCCTGATACTATATTCCTTTTATTCATGCTACGATCTCACAATGGATAGTACGTGGGGAGCTCAAGAGTTGGAGACGCCAGGAATCTCTACATATTTGCACCAGAGAATAAGACGAAAAACATTCTTTATCAAGAGGCTTTCAAATGAAAAGTCCAACCCATTCCTACATGCTCTTATAATAACCTTTTGTCA